TATTTGACAGATATGCAAGAATCAGGAGTTACTGAATACACGAACAAAGGACCAATAGCCAATGTAGAAGAGAAGGAACTATTTATAGTAGGTAATTTTGCTAGACCTTGGGGGCTAGAAGGTAGTGGCTTCCCCTGACGGTGGTATTTACTGAATTCTCTCAACCCAGCCAATCAAGTCACAGATGCAGTTCTAGAGGCAAACCTGTGGGGCATATGATTTATTATTTCTCCAGAAACGATTCACTTATCTGGGGATTAGACAGCTGGTAGCTGCCTCCCCTTTGGGTCAGGCACAATCTAGCTGCTCTCAGAATCTGTTTTCTTGCTCTCCTCACCCCACTACATGCCCTCACCTGCCCCCTCAAGTTGAATGGCTGAGGTCAGCCGGCCTCTGTCAATAACCTTCAGTATTCTTTCAATTACAGAGTTTCTAAAATAAAAATCTAATGCCCTCTATTTAAATGTTGACAAGACACAGCAACCCCTTTATTTTCAAATTTTTAACTTACTTCCATAGAAACAAATTAAGCTTTGCCCTAGAAAAACAGCATGCCGACTCCAGCTCTTCCACACATGGGGATTTCAAGAGGTTGTGAAATGTCAGTTTGACTTGTTTTGGGTGTTGGGGAGGGTAGGGAGGTTGAAGGGCCTTTGAATAAACCTGTTCCTAAGAAAAGGGGTTTCTGTAACTGTGTGATTCTGGCATTGCATTTCTGAATGCATCCTCACCTAATAAAAGAAAAAACAAGGTACAAATTGCATGTTGATTATTCCACCACCTATTTAAAAGAATTTCCTGGAGTGGGGGCGGAGTAGGGCTAGAAGGGGTCATGGGGGTGGGGGATGGGGAAATGGGGACATATGTAATACTTTCAACAATACAAGTTTAAGGTTAATGGGGGGGGAAAAAGAATGTGTTTCTGGGTTTGCATGTAAATAAAATATTTCCAGATAAATAGCATACAAAAAAAACCCCTTCAACTTCTGAAGGACGATACACAAGCACACAACATTGTGTGAGTGCAGGGTATGGGTAAGGGAGGAGCCCTGGGTTTGTAGTTTCAAAATCCCTGGCTCTGTGAGTCACCGGGCCTTTCTTTGCCTCATCTATGAAGTCCTGAAGCAAGAATACAGCCTCTAAAAGTCAAGGCCATCCGAGTTGGATCTTGGAAACAAACTGAACTGTGTCTCTCAGAGGCACGCCACCTGTGACCTTTGGCCATGGGAATGGTCTTGCTGGGGTTTGACCATGAGTGACCTGTTGGGTCTAAACGAGGCGCAGGCCCAGGTTCTGGCTTGTTCACAGTGTGGCACTGCCTGCTGCTGGCTTATATTAATCTTTTACTCCAGTCAAATTGGTCTGAGCCCAAGGCTTTGCTCTTGCCCAGAGAAAGACCCTACCTCCAAGCCCCCAGTCCTCTCCTTGCCAGCTGGAAGATTCTCCAACTGCTAAGGACCCACAAGCATGTGGTCATCACTTTTATCACTACTCTCATAGGGCAATTATTTTCTGTATTTAGGCCTTTAGCAGATTTCCCTATGTTTATCTGAGTAGCTTCAAAGATAAGACTTGCTCTCTTAAGCGTTGTGTATCTACCCCTAGCTCTAACAGACAGTTATTATTTTGTTATTTATATCTAAACTATTGTTCTATCAAGTTTTCTCTCCCAACCATTTCCCCCCAAATGCATTTGTCCTAATCTTTTCCATTAGTCTTGATATAAAGTCAGTCTCTGTCATCACACTGACCTTTGAATGATACAAGGGAATGTTTTCAACTTCTTTTCTCTTTGTCCAAGTCTTTTCCTCTAATGGTAGTGGTAATTAGCAGTGGAATGGTTAAAAGTAATGATGATGGCTTGCTATCATTATTATCTATGAAGGACTTAGTTTGTGCTAGACACTCTTCAAAGTACTTTACATATATTTATTCATTCAATTCTCATAGTTATATGGAATGTGTACCTTCATTATCCCGTATATAGTTAAGGAAACAGAGGGACAGAGAAGTAACTTGTCAGAGGTTACACATTAGAAAATTGCAGACCCAGGATTTAAAACCAGTGGACTCTACCCACGGCATCATCTTGCCCCTTGAAAGATGGGTAGTAGTGGAAAATAGACGTAACTGTCCTGGATTAACCCACATTTGTCATCAGTACCCAGACAGCTTTCAGAATATTTGAAAAATATTAGGGACTGAGATTAGGGAGGCAGAGCCAAAAGAAAGTTGAGGATTACACAATTGTTTTGTGAGTTTACAAGCTTGATAAAGCCAATCTGGATAATTAAGCCATGGTCTTTTTTTGTGTGTGTGTCCTTGATTATGTAAGTTTTTACTAAGAAAATGAGCAATAATAAAGCCTTGATTAATATTTCTGAGAGTCAAACATTCATCTTGTGGGAGTATTTGCATGTTTCACCTCTGCTTATGAAGACCAAGCTGATGGTTTTGTGATTTTTATTTTCAGTAAGCAGAAAAAAGCTATTAATTTACTAACTCTATTTCTTATTGGCATGTAGCTAAGCACAGTTCACACAAAAATATATAAAACCTTAGGCTACTTTATTTTGCCTAGTGGGAAAATATGAAGCATGAGATTTCTTATGCAAAAGTGAACATTTGAACTATGCTGGCTCTATATGCCTTTATTAGCATTCCAGAGACTTGAATTGACTTCTGCAAGTTAGCTTTTCAGGAAATGTAGTTTTCTGATCTATGAGCATGGAGATGTGAAAAAATAAGCAATTTCTCCTATACATTAATCAGATTCCAACCTCCTTAAAAATTCACATTAAAGGCGAATTCCATGAAGGACTAGTTTTCAGACTATAGGATACATTTAGGTTGGAATCACCCTGAATTATTTTGTGAGAGAGAGAGAGAGAAAGAGAGAGAGAGAGAGAGAGAGAGAGAGAGAGAGAGAGAGAGAAGTAGGAAAAAAGCTAGCAAGAATAGGCTATAGGTGGAAGAAGGGCCAAAGAAAGCCCCCCACCCCATCCCGCTGGAGACAGTGGAGGGAAAGGCAAAGAGACTGTCTCAGGAGGATTACAGGTGACTCCCGTGGGCTGCGTGCTGTAAACCTGTTTCTCTGTCTCAAATGGAGAAATACAAAATAATTTTGTATTATCTCACCAAAGCTGCTTCTTTGGGGTCAGGTTGTGTCGTCTTTATCTCCTTAGTTTCAGGATTTCTGTTCAGTTAGCTTTCAGGCTGTTCTGAACGATGGTTGTTCTGTAGTTTCATTGTAGTTTTGATGTAGCTGTGGGAGTTTCTGAGTATCACATTTACCTACGCCGCCATCCTGACTGGACCCCACAGTAAATATTGGTGGTGGATTTTCTCAATCACTTTTGTGGTTGGCTCTGAGGAGTCTTTTACTTTAAAAAGGACTTCCTCACACTTCAAAAGGGTGGAAAACCACTGATCTGAGGAATCACAACAATGTCTCCAATTTGTCTACAAAGCACTCCTCGCCTATTCAAAACACTGTGCAGGGACTCTATGGTGTCATTTATGATAGATTTTAAAAGAGAGTAAAGGCGCCCTAACCAGTTTGGCTCAGTGGATAGAGCATCTGCCTGCGGACTCAAGAGTCCCGGGTTCGATTCCGGTCAAGGGCATGTACCTTGGTTGCGAGCACATCCCCAGTAGGGGGTGTGCAGGAGGCAGCTGAGCGATGTTTCTCTCTCATCGATGTTTCTACCTCTCTATTCCTCTCCCTTCCTCTCTGTAAAAAATCAATAAAATATTATTTTAAAAAAAAAAGAGAGAGTAAAGGCAAACTGCATTTTGGTTTGACTTTGCACAGAATTAACACTGAGTACATACGGAGGGGTCTCTATAAAGCATGCATACGACAACCGTCATATTATTGGACTTTGTAGTCGTGTGAGGGGTCTCTCTGTTGCTCTGAGAACATGCAGATCCAGGAACCCTGATTCCATTTCCCTTCCCCAGGTCCTGTTGTGTGGTCTGCTTGTCACATGTCCTCAGGATCCGCTGAGGTTTTTAGAGGAAATGATCATCATTATAATGAAAAATGGCCTCGAAAGTCTTCTCTGGTGAGTCTTGCTTTGATTTGTGGTAGGGAGGTATTTTGAAGGTAAAATAAATGCTTCATTGCAGAGTATCCAAAAAGGTCTTGCTAATGAATGCTTCCAATCTCAAGACGGTTCAAGAATCCCTCCACATGCTTTTAAGTCCGTAAGGACTTGGAAAGGAACAAGTTGCCCCACTGGTTCTCACCTTGAAAAATAGTGTTTTCATCAGTGCTATGTGCTCTCTCTCGGGCAGTTTATTTCAGGTTGGACACTCGGAAAGGGAGGCATGCCTTCCTGGGGACGCCGCAAAATCTTGAGGGGGTGGGGGAGGTAGTTTGAAAAAGCCCTCCTGGTGGTTCTGCTCTGCTTCTTGCCAGGGACCTGTCTCTTCCTCCCGGTCCCGTACACTCGACCCCAATAGCCAAAGATTGAATTATGGAACTAACTACTATAAAATGAAATTAATTTCTGACTGTGTTTTATTATTAAAGGGATATGTGCATTGACCCATCAATGAAACCCAAGGTTCGGAGATTATCTGAAACTTACTTGGAACAACTTTTTGGATTGGACGATCAGCTGGTAAGGATTAGTAATCAAGCATTCTAAAATATATTTTTTAAGTTTTGATGGAAATTTTCAAATACAATTTCGATTTTACAAGTGGTGTGAGAGCAGACTGATTTTGCAATTGGGGGCACTCCCAAAAGTGATGGGGCAACACACACACACACACACTGAGACACATACACATAGACACAGCCACACTCATAGTAACATCTCCCCCAACCCCAAATTTCCACGAAGCATTGAGACAGGCATTTATTCTCCCTCTTTCTGATAAAACCTTTATATTTAATTTCCCCTTTGCCCCTTCTCTTTCCCCTCCGCTCTTGCATTTTTATGATGATGAAAATAGTGGGGTGAGATGCTTTAAAGGAGGATATTTTCTTTCCTTCCTAATCTGCTTCTTTCTGTGTTCCACCCCCCTTCCTTCTCCCTGCCATCTGCTCAGGAATTATGCTCATAAAGACATGGCCCATGAGGTCTAAGTTAAAAGCCAGGCCAATTATTAATGGAAGGAACAACCAGCTCCAACAGCTGTTTTTGATCCTGTAAAGAGGGCAGGGAAGTAATTCAGGACATGGACGCTTTTAGAACAAAGACTGTGCGTCTAAAAGAAGCTAAAATAGCAGAAGGCATGTGGGGAGAGAAATACTGACACATTAGATGTGTGCGGGACCACGTGTTTGACCTGCAGACCCCAGGCTGATGTCTCATTAAGCACAGGCAGGGTTGGGGGGTGGCTGGGGAAGTTGAGCATTGATAAGAGAAATGAAAGCCACCGTCAAGGTGGGTGGCAAGAGCCAGGAAGAATTTGAAGCATCATTTGGAAGACTGGGTAGAGAGTAACACCAATCATTGATCCTAATCACTGGTCGGCAACAGAGGGACAGAAATAGAGGGGTGAAATATTTCTGCCAAGCCCGAGGTGATTCCGAAGCACCGATATACTGGGAAGAACCAATATATCTGATTCTTATTGCTCTGCATCATGGTGTGTGTGGGGGGTCTTAATGACTTGACTTTATCAAACACAGACCTCTAATCTACTGTGAGTGCAGACAACTGAAAACCAAGTTCCTGGAGATGTTTGGGGCAACCCCAGGGGCTGAGGGGTTGATCCCCCATCCTCACCCCTGACTCACTAGAATAATTCTGCTTTGGGTATAATGTCACTTGAAGAAAAGCTTGAGAACCATCCTAATAGACAAACATGGTAATTGACCATACCTTCGCTATGCCTCCCATTGGCTAATCAGCATGATATGCAAATTAACCGCCAACAAAGATGGTGGTTAATTTGCATACGTAGGCCAAGCAGAGGAGGCGGGACAGTGTGAGCCTCCAGTGCGCCACCATCCAGGCCCGCCCCCGCCTTGCCGCCCCAGAAGCCCCAGAAGCCGCCTGTCAGCACGAGCCTCCAGTGCGCAGTCATCCAGGGTAGTCCTGCCCCCACCTATAGAGAAAAATAGCCTATAGAGAATTTAAAAAAATGCATGGAATTCCAACAGACACCTAAGTTAC